GGGGGGGGGGAGGCAATGGCAAACCTCCTCTGAAGAAATCATGCCACAAAAACTTTATGAATGTGTGGTGTAGTGGTTTGAAACTGGGAGTCAGGAAATCTGGGTTTGAATTACCACTCAGCTACGGAAACCTATTGGGTGACTATGGTCCAGTTCCACTCTCTCAGCCTCAGAGGTAGGCAATGGTGACAAATCTCCTCAGAAGAATCTGGCCAATAAAACCCATGATAAGATTCACTTTGTATGTGGCTGTGCCTTCAAGTCACCTATCAACTTATCTGATTTGCTACTTTTACTGGGTTAACATGGCTTCTCTTGGGAGACCACATTTTATATCACCTGCCTTACCATGGAATTCATACATTAATTTGGAAAAGAAGGGGATGGTACCAGTGTCTGCAGAAATACTATCCCCAGAGCCCACAAAGAGTTCTGAGGCCCATGAACTACAGATGTTGCTGTGGCAGCTGTTTGGGCCAATGCCAACCACTGACAAGGTGGGCAATGAATTTGACACAGCTGCAGAGACCTTTGTGGGTCAAAGAGTTGTCCCAGCCATGAATTTCACTGCGTTTTCTTAAGCAAAGGATCGCTCAGAGGTGTTTTTGCCAGTTCCTTCTTCTGGATGATGCCTTTTTAGGAACAGGTAGCCACACGCTCAGAAAGGAGAGATGTAGTAGTGATGGGTGACTTCAACTATTCTGATATTTGCTGGAAGTCAAAGGGGGGTTGCAGACTGCCAGAAATAGTGCAAATTGAGTCCACTTTTAGGGTTAGGGAATCATGGGAACTGTATTTTATTGTGGCACCAGAGCTCTCTGACACAGAAGGCTCAATGTCTCAGAAAAAAAAAATTCCCATGATTCTCTAGCACTAACCCTAATCCTAAAAGTGGACTCAATTTGCACTATTTCTGGCAGTCTGCAATCCCCCAAACTCAGCCAAAACTTTAAGGTCTAGCAAATTCCTCACTTGTCTGGAAGACAATTACATTGTCCAAAAGATGGAGGAGGCAACAAGGGGGTCAGCCATTTTAGATCTGATCCTAACCAACAGGGATGACCTGGTTAATGGGGTGGAAGTGGTGGGAGCCTTAGGTGGGAATGACCATGTTCTCCTGAAGTTTGTTATACAGCAGAAAGGAGAAGACCAGTATAGTCAGACATGCATTCTAGACTTTAGGAAAGCTGATTTCAGTAAACTTAGGCCCAAAACAGATTGCAGAAATAATCCAGTTTGAGATCGCTTTAACTGCCCTGGATCAATG